GGACGCGGCCTCAGCATGGCCTGACAAGTGGTGTGTCGGTGCGCGCCCGGGATCCGAACCCGGGCTGTCAGTAGCGGAGTGCGCGCACTTAACAGCCAAGCCACCAGGCCGGCCCTGGACTAGTATTTTAAAGTTAATCCAAGACGTATTAGTTCACCTTTGAATACATCAGTCTGCATCTTTAACAAATAAAAAGTTTGTAAACTCATGACCACAATACCATGATCACAGCTCATGACAGTTCTTTAACAACTAACCCAAGTCCATTTTCCGATGTCCCTGACGGACTCAAAATTCTTTTTACAAAATTGCTTTGTTTGAGTTGGGATCCAAACAAAGTCTACACTTGGGCTTTACTGATATGTATTTTAAGTCTCTCTCATTTTTAATATCTTTATTTTTTTAGAACAGTTTTAGATTTACAGAAAATTGAGAGTATAGTACAGAGTTCCCAAATACCCCGTACCCATTTTCCCCTCTTGTTAACATCTTACATTTTTATAGTACGGTTGTTACGTCAATGAACCAGTATGGATACATCATTATTAGCTAAAGTTTGTACTTTATTTAGATGTCCTTGGTTTCTACCTAATGCCATTTCTCTCCTCCAGGATCCCGTCCAGGACACCACGTTACATTAGTTGTCATGCCTCCTGAGGCTCCTCTTGCTGTGACGGTTTCTCAGGCTTTCCTTGGTTTTGATGACCTGGACAGTTTTCGGGAGGACGGTCAGGGATTCTGCAGGATGCCCCTCGATGGGGATGGGTCTGATGGTTTTCTCATGATTAGACGGGGGTCATGGGTTTTGGGAGGAAGAGCACAGAGGCAAAGAGCCATTGTCATCATGTCCTGGCAAGGGCGCACACTCAACGTGATTTCAGTGGCTTTTTGTTTTAACGGCTCCTTCTCTCCCTCCTGTGGTGTTTTTTGGTTCAAGGCCAGTTTACTTGGTGGAGAAGCCGGGGCAGGTGGGGCAGTGCCCCGTAGCCGTCTCCACGTTTGCATTTGGTCCTCGTGGTGGTGTCCCTCGTTCCTCCATCCCCGATTCCCGTGAACCCGCAGCGAGACCCAGGGGCCTGATGCGAGTCAGGTTCGGTTTGTCACTGATTTCTGTGACCTGCCTCAGGCTCTGGGCTCCGCTGTAACCCCCTGGATTGGTCTGCCAGGGCTCCAGAACAAAGTAGCACTGCTGGGCGGCTTAAACCACAGGAATTTACGAGAAATCTGAGATCAGGGCTGGTTTCTCCTGAGGCCTCTCTCCTTGGCTGTGGACGGCTGTCTTCTCCCTGTGTCCTCACAGGATCTTCCCTCCGTACTTGTCTGTGTCCTCCTCTCCTGATAAGGTCACAAGTCCTGTTAGCTGAGGGCCCACCCTAATGACCTCATTTTACCTTAGTTACCTCCTTAAAGACCTGATCTCCAAATCCAGTCACATTCTGAGGTGCTGGGGTTAGGGCTTCAACATAGGAATTTTGGAGGAACACAGTTCAGCCCATGACACCCCCTCAGGGCTCCTGTGTCTTCACAGAGACATCGGAGCAGTAGCCAGAGCAGGCAGTGCCAGCCCTCAGGGCGGAGAGCAGGTTCTCCCGGTGCAGGGTTAGGGAGGCCAACCATGGGCCCTTCCCTGCATCCGTCCTCCTGCCTGGCCAGTTCTCAGGTGGGCCTGTCCTGAGCACTGCCAGGTCATGCCCAGGCATGCAGGTTCTCAGGTGTGCCAGGTTTCCCAGCTCCTTGAAGACGTGCGTTACATGGTCGGTGATTGCTCAGTCTGCAGTGAGCGCCAGGTCGCCCAACCATTCGCGTATCTGCCAGAAACACTCTGGCCGCTCCAGCGCCCAGGCACTTGCTGTGTGCTGGTGTGTGCTGGGGTCTTTACAGGTTCTCGTGTCCAGTCCTCTCCTAGCCCCAGTTCACAGCTGAGAAAGCTGAGTCCCGGAGAGGTTCATCAGCATGAGCAGTACCGTCTCTTCCTTCCCAAATAACTGCTTCCTCACCCCCTGTCTAGGGGAGTTGGTGCCATTTTAAAGGCCCGATATCCTTTTCTCACAAAAGCCGTGGTGTGGAGCCCTTTCCTTTTCCCTCCATTGGAACAAATTATAAAAATTGCTCTCCATCGACCAATGTGTACAAATTGTACATACTTTAAAGAATTATGACAGTAGAAACAAAATCTGGTATATCAGTAAAATACAATGCTATTTGGCAATAAAAAGGAATTAAGTACTGATTCATGCTACGATACGGGTGGACCTTGAAAATGTTGCTTTGAGTGAAAGGAGCCAGGCACAAAATGTCAGGTGTTGCATGATCCCATTAGTGTGGAAAGTCCAGAAAGGCAAATCCGTAGAGACAGAGAGAGATTAGTGGTTGCCTAGGCTGGGGGTGGAGGGAACGGGAGTGACTGCTGATGGGGACAAGGCTTCCTTTGGGGCAATGAAAATGTTCTAAAATTAGATTATGGTGATGGCTGTACAACCTTGTGAATATTCTAAAAACCACAGAACCGTCCACTTTAAAGACATGAACTCAGTGGTATGTAAATGATATATCAATAAAGCTCTTTAAAAAAAAAAGAATTGGGGGGCCGGCCCAGTGGCGCAGTGGTTAAGTTCGTCCGTTCTGCTTCGGCGGCCCGGGGTTGGCTGGTTTGGATCCTGGGCGCGGACCTACACACCACTCTTCAAGCCATGCTGAGGCGGCATCACACGTAGAACTAGAAGGACCTACAACTAGGATATACAACTATGTACTGGGGCTTTGGGGAGGGAAAAAAAAACAAGAAGATTGGCAACAGATGTTAGCTCAGGGGCAATCTTCCTCAAAAAAAAAAAAAAAAGAATTTGGGGCTGGCCCCCCTGGCTTAGTGGTTAAGTTCCACACACTCCCCTTCAGCGGCTCAGGTCCTCTTCCTGGGCGTGGACCTACACCACTCGTGGCCATGCTGTGGTGGCGACCCACATACAAAATAGAGGAAGATTGGCAACAGATGTTAGCTCAGGGCCAATCTTCCTCAGCAAAAAGAAAAGAATTATAACCAAACCAATACCAATGTGCCTTCTAGCTGGGTGGAGATACATTCTCCCACATCTCCCCACCCACCTACCCCACCAAAGAGAGGGACCATCACCCTCTTTCTCTCTGACATATATGTTTACTTCTGGCATTCTCCACAGCATCTGGTGTTTTTTTAATGTCAACTCTCCCATTATTCTTTCTTTTTTTAACCCTTCCATTTTTTTAATAGCAGCTTTATGGAGGTATAATTCACGATACCATACGATTCATCCATTTAAAGTGTACAATTCAGTGGTTGTTAGTATATTCACAGAGTTGTGCAGCCATCACCACAGTCAATGTTAGAACATTTTCATCACCACAAAGAGAAATCCTATACCTTTTAGCGTTCGCCCCCTCCCCAGCCCTAGGCAACCACTAATCTACTTTCTGTCTCAGTGGATTTGCCTGTTCTGGACGTTTCATACAAATGGAATCATATAACATGTAGTCTTTTGTTTCTGGCTTCTTTTCCTTAGAATCATGTTTTCAAGGTTCATTGCTGTGGAACATGCCACAGTACTTCATTCTTTTTTTATGGCCAAATATTATCCCGTTGTACGGATAGGCCAGGCTGTATTTATCCGTTCATCAGCTGGTGGCCATGTGGTCTTTAAGTATACAGATCCCTGTAGTGCAATTACCTAAAGCTAAGAGGACAATGTCCTTGCGGGACATACGGGGGTCAGCGCTCTGTCAGAATATTGGATGTCGGGAAGAATTTTGCCCATTTACCAGGTGCTCAAAGCATTTCACGTGAATATCCCATTTAATGCTCAAATAACCAGATGGGGTAGGTACTATGACCTCCATTTGTTAGCTGGAGCCCTGGTCTGTATTACATGTAATATACCCTTGGTCGCCTAACTGGTAGGAAGAGGCAGAGCCAGGATATGAACCCCGACGGTTAAACCCCCAGGCTGGTGCAGGCTCAGCCAAGCCACAGTCCTGCCCCGAGGTTGTTGGCATCCTCTGTTCTCCGGTTGCTGATTCAACCCTGCGCCTCCTTTTCCCTGGAGGAATGATCCAATTTAAAATGCTGTAGCCAATTCACTTTGAGGCATTTATCCTCCACTTGTGAACCAAAGGGCACGTATACAGGGTCCCATTGCAGCTCCCCCGTTCACGGTAGTAGTGCAGGTCGGGAAAAACCTAGGTGTCCATCAGTAGGGGATTCGTTCAACAGCTGCAGGGGTACCGTCTTTAAAAAGAATGAGGCAGCTCTGTACGGTCTGAGGTTGAGTAACCACTGTGTTCCACAGTGTTCCATGAGAAAACCTGCAGAACTGTACACGTATGCTGCCGTTTGTGGGAAAAACATTTGTCTATGCCGTTTTCACCGGGTGCATCTAAGTGAGTGAGTGACAGTGGTGCCTCCGGAAGGGGATTTGGGTTCCTGGGGAGCGAGCCGGGAGGCTTACTTTTCACTGAATTCCCACTTGTCGCTCTGCGTTTTTGACCATGTGGATAGAATGTCCCGTATTGAAACGCATAAGGTGAGGCGAGGCTGCACCCCCGTTCGCATCGTTGCCGCCCAGTGCTTCTCCGGCGTCCCCCGGAGAGCGGGTGCGGCCCTCCGGGGCCCCTCACAGCCGGACGGGGTGTGGGTCTCCGTCACTTGCACGTGCGCAGCGGGCGGCTGATCCGGCTCAAGTGTGCGAACCACATCTGGGCGGGAGGCCGGGGGCGGGAAGTCCCGCCGGTTAGACACGAGGGCAGGCGGAGGCCGGCGGAGGCCGGGCAGAGGGGCGCAGAGCCCCGGGCCGGGCGGCCGCGCGCACGAGGGAGGCGGGCTCGCGGGGACGTCGTCCCGGCTCCAGGCCGCGCGGGGCTCCAGGCCTTCGTCACCCGCGGCTGTTTTCCCGCTGAGGTGTCCGCCCCCGAGCCTGGCGGGGCAGGAGGAGGGGGGCGGTGGCCGAGTCGGCAGTGACCGCTCGCTTGTTTCCGCAGTTCTTGACCAGGCTGACCGAGAGGTTCGTGCTGGGAGTGGACATGTTTGTGGAGACGCTGTGGAAAGTCTGGACGGAGCTCTTGGACGTTCTCGGCCTTGACGGTAGGTGTGGGGGGCGTGCATGTGAGACGCTGGTCTGTTCTGGTGGCTCTCACGGCGAGGAGCGGGTGCCCGCGGTGGGTGGCGCGGGCAGAGACTTGGGGAGGTCTAGTGAGGATGCCAATGAGCATTTTGTGCTGCAATAGTTGCTTTTACGCACGGCCCATCAAAGCCGCGCGTCGCAGGTGCTCTAGGCTCAGGCGTGACTGGGCAGCACCGACCTGTCTGCCCCCCGAGCACACCGCACGCGCCGAGTGGGTTCTCTGGGTGGTTGGCATCCCAAACAAGCTACTCCAGGTATTTAGGCTGAAAGAGATCCAATCCAGAGGATGAGGCGCTCACAGAGTCGTCAGAAGGGCTGAAGGAGCCACGTGTGACCCCTGGGACACTGCCCGCCTGGCCTGCCAGGGGCTGCTGCCCTGTTCCGGGAATCAGGAGGCTGCCGCTGGGGACCCAGGAATTCGAGGACACAGCCCTGGGCCAGGCCCCGCCTCTCACTCCAGGAAGTCTGCAGTGGCCTCCTGTGTGAGGCCCCCAAGAACACCTCTCCCCCCAGGCTTGGTGCATCGCTAGGGGGACTCACAGGACTCAGCACACGGTGGTGCTCACGGCTGTGACTTATCACAGCGAAAGGACATGACGCACAAGCAGCGAGGGGGAGGGCTGGGTGGAGACCAGGCTCGGGCTTCCAGAGCCCTCCCAGGGGAGCCACACAGGACACACTCAATCCCCCAGCTCCTGTGAAGTGTTGTCCGCCAGGGATGCCCAGGAGAGACTTAGCACCCAGGGTGTTTACTGGGAGCTGGTCACATTGGTACCCTCTACCTGGCCCGTCCCCAGACCCCAGACTCCTCAAAGGAGAGCAGGTGGTCAGCATGAACCGCGTTGTTTGTACGGACAGTCCAGGCGCAGAGAGCCCCTCATCAGGGAATGGAGGGAGCTCTGCCTCCATGTGGTTGTTTTTTTTCCCACACCACCAAGCAATGAACTCCATTCTTCTCGGACACCGACCAGGTGTCTCACAAATGGAACTCAATTCTGGGTTCTCCCTGGAGATCGCGTCAGGTCCCACGGGTGAAGGCTCCGTCGCACAAGGGTGCTTCCACTGCAGACGCCAATTTCAAGTCTAGGTTGTCACCCCTCCTTCACACCGACCAGCTATAAATAAGAGGTTCCCATGACCCCCTCCTCGGGTTCAGTTGATTTGCTAGAGTGGCTCACAGAAATCAGGAAACCAGTCTGCTCACTAGACTCCTGGTTTATTACAAAGGATGTAACTCAGGAACGGCCAGATGGAAGAGACGCATGGGGCAAGGTCTGTGGGAGGCCGCTCGGAGCTTCCCTGTTCTCTGAGTTCACCAACCTGGGAATCTCTCTGAACCCCCGTCCTTCTGGGTCTTTGTGGAGGCCTCATTACATAGGCACCATCCCACTGGCCATTGGTGATGGAGTCACCCTCAGCCCCTCCCCCTCCCCAGAGGTCAGAGGGTGGTACTGGAAGTTCCAACCCTCTAATCACATGGTTGGTTCCCCTGGCAACCAGCCCATCCTGTGGTTGTCTAGGGGTTTCCAAAAGTTACTTGATTAACATAAACTCAAGTGTGGTTGAAAGGGGCTTGTTATGAATTATCAAGACACCTTCATGGCTCGCATCACTTGGGAAATTCCAAGGGTTTTAGGAGCTCTTGCCAGGAATGGGGACGAGAACCAAATATATATTTCTTATCATAAATCACAACATCACACTTCAGAAATCCAAGTTCCCGGACGCCAGCCAAGGTCCCACCTTGCCAGCAGGCCTTCCAGAGGGTGCAGCCTCGGGCCCCCTAAGAGGGGGCCCTGCACACATGCCTCCTAACTCAGCTTCCTCTCTTGCCCCCTGTGGTCCCTGCTCAACAAATCAGCCGGAGAGATTTTTTTAAAAAACATGTCGGGTCAAGTCACTCTCCTTAAAGCTGCCCAGTGACCTCCTGTTGCACTTGGGATGGGCACAGGCTTCGCACAGGACTGTAAGCTCCTAGGATCTGCCCAGCCCCTGGCCTCCTTCCCCTTCCTGGACGTGCCCTCCAGTCCCTTTAGGTGTTCCCTGCCTGGGGCGATCCCCAGCCCTGTGCCTGCTCAGGTCTTTCCCATCCTGGGTCTCTGGTACATGACGCCTCCTCCAAGGGGCCCATCCTGATTACCCCACGTAAAGGGACCTTGTCGTCTGTTCTCACACTGTCCATTCCTTCTCTTTATGGCACTCCTCAGCTGTAACGTCCCGTGTGTGTGTGTGTGTGTGTGTGTGTGTGTGTGTGGTCTCTCCTCTGGTACCTCAGCTCCTGTGAGCAGGGCCTTGCCCATCCCCTCCAGGCTGCACCCTCAGCCCGGGTCTGCCCCTGGCACAAAGGGGCACATCATTAATAAGAGCTGCGGGGCTGTTGGCTCTGCTGCTTTGCTGCTGGTGTGAGTTGACTTGTGTGCTCCCCAAAGCCCCGTACCTGTGTGTGTGACCTTATTTGGGAAGAGGGTCTTTGCAGGTGTGATCAAGTCACGATGAGGCCATCCTGGCTTGGGGTGGCTCCTAAATCCAGTATCTGGTGACCTTATAAGAAGAGGGAAATTTGGACACAGACGCAGAGAAACCCACAGGGAGAAGACGGCTGTGTGACGATGGAGGCAGACATCGGAGTGAGGCAGCCAGGAGCCACTAGAAGCTGGAAAAAGCAAGGACCCTCCCCTAGAGCCTGCACAGAGAGCACAGCCCTCCTGACACCTTGGTTGCAGAATTCTGGTCTCTAGAGCTGTCAGAGAATACGTTCCTCTTATTTAAAGCTGCCGAGTCTGTGGTCATATGTTGTATGACCTAGCAGCCCTAGGAAACTAATATAGCTCCATTTTGTGCAGAATCTCTCGGAATCCTCCTGTTGGCCCTTGACACTCTCACCTTACAGATCGGAGACCTGGGCTTGAGGTTGAGGCACTGGCCGAAAGCTGCACAGGTTGGGGCGCCCTGGTCCACACCTGCTGTCGCCCCCCCAGCCACTCAGAGCCATCTGCAGCCATGAACCATTGAGTTCAACCTCCGAGAGGCCTTAGGCCAACTCAGGGCACCGTGCTGCTCGGGCCAAGAATCGGAGGCAGCAGCATGGCCGTGTGAGAGGATGCCGTGCAGCATGCAGCCCCTGGGGCGGGCGATGGCCCCTCCTGGGACTCAGGCTGAGTCAACACATAACCCAGATACAGCAACTGTGTGCAATCCCGCTTGGAATCCCTATTCACTTGCCCGGATTGTGAAACTCGCAGTATTTCCACCCCTGACCAGCGGGCCCTGGAGAAACAAACCTGATTGCAAGAAATTGCGTGCAGTTTGGAGTGAAGAACTACAGAGTAGAGACAGCCTTCTACCCACGTGGGAGAGGACCAGAGCAGAGTCGCTCTGCAGCAGAACGAGGAGGCTGTGAACGCCCACAGTCATGATGAGCGTAGCTGGCACACTCCAGAGGCAGAAGTACCCACTTGCATGTATGATTTTCCCCTTTTTATTTGATGCATAAGCTTCAAGCAACCGAAGGCCTTTGGGATTTGTGTGTTAGGCGTAGAAGTTTGAGTGTGTGAAAGGCTTTACAGGAAACTGTTCCAAAGTTGGATATTCTTTTTTTTTTTTTTTTGTGAGGAAGATCAGCCCAGAGCTAACATCCATGCTAATCCTCCTGTTTTTGCTGAGGAAGACCAGCCCTGAGCTAACGTCTATTACCAATCCTCCTCCTTTTTTTCCCCAAAGCCCCAGTAGATATTTGTATGTCATAGTTGCACATCCTTCTAGTTGCTGTATGTGGGACGCCGCCTCAGCATGGCCGGAGAAGCGGTGCGTCGGTGCGCGCCCAGGATCCAAACCTGGGCCTCCGGTATCGGAGCGCGCGCACTTAACCGCTAAGCCACGGGGCCGGCCCCCAAAATTGGATATTCTGGTAAAAAATGTTTCCAAGAGCACAATCCTCTAATTTCCTCCTTCAGAATTTTTCAGGGTACAGGTTAAAATGGAGACTCCTTAGTGCAGAGTGGTCTGTTGGAAATCAAATGCCAGCCACATATGTGATGTTAAATGTTCTAGTTGCCACGTTAAAAAAGTAAAAAGAAACTGGTGAAATTAATTTTAATAAGGTATTTTAGTTAACCCACTAGATGAAAAATATTATGTCAACTTGTAGTCAATATGAAAAATTATTAACAAGGTGTCTTACATTTCGGGGGGTATTAAGTCTTCCAGATCCAGTCTGTGTCTGACACAGTGCATCTCAGTTCACACTTGCTGCATTTCAAGTGCTTGGTGGCCACATGTGGCCAGTGGCATCCATAACGGACAGCACAGTTTTTTTCCACTCCAGATCTGCTGGCTCAGACACCGTTCTGGGAAATAGAGCATCTGTCCAGGAATTGGAAGGATGGATTTAAGTCTCTCATTTTCGTCAAGTTGTTCACTTTCTCTGGAGCCTCAAGGCCACTTCTAACAAAATGGGGGGAATATGAATTCTGCCGCGATGATGCATCAGGATAGCACAGGGAGTGGAAGACTCTGGAGACTGGCCTCCCTGTGTCAAAACCCCAGCTCTGCCCTGCCCTAGCTCTGGGACCCTGGGCAAGTCCCGCTCTGTGCCTGTGTCCTCGTGTGGAAAATGCTGCAAATCTCATCATCACATGGTGAGGATCGAACGACAATTCATGCAGAGCAGTCAGAACAGTGCCTGGCCCACAAGAAATGGCTTGTGAAGGGGCTCTGCTCCAAAGAGTAAGTCATTGTGCAGTTCTGGGGCCCGCCTGATCTCCATTCTCTATGCTGAGGGCTGTCTGCGTCCAGTGCCCAGAGCCAGCTTTCCCCTGTCCGCCCATGGAGACTACAGATGTGCGATGACTTAAACCTGGGCCAAGCTGAGAAGCACGTCTGCCATCGAAAGGTTTACTTTTCTTTGAGTGGTACCTGTTACGGGTTGAATTGTCCCTCAGATCCTTCTGTTGAAGTCCTA